ATACTGATGGGGGCGAATTGCGGTGGGTTACACAATTATGGTGTGTGAGCTTTTTGGATGGAAATATTCTCTTAAGAGAAAATTTATTAAATGTCGGGAATTTTTTCAACCGTATTAGAAACCAATTAATAGAAATTTTAGTCCATTTTTATTATAAATAATTAATTTATAATAATTTAATTTCTGTTAGTTATCGACAAACAGACAGTCCCTGCAAAGTGTGAAACAAATGAACCAAAACAACAGTCGAGTCCCGCTATAGGGGTCACTGAAAATACTCACCGCTATGACCATGGTAGTTTAATTTAACACTTCAACTACATTACATTATATTAAGATTCATTTTACAGATGATGTAAAGCATATATCAGACAAAAAGGACAATAAAATGGATACTAATATTAATGATCATTCAAATGATGGTAAAAATAATACAAATTTCGCAAAAAAATCACAACAATTTGATAGAAATAGTAATACAAAAGGATTAGAGCAAACAACTGGTAATTTGAGTGCATTTTTAAAAATTTAATTTTTAAACACAATTTAAAATTTGTTATTTTGTTGTGAAGACAAACGACAGACAGGTTTTACAAAACCAAATCTAAATCTAAAACAACGAGAACTACACTCGACACCCATTTTAATGAACAATAGCGATTCCAACCAGTGTGGTTTAGTTAATATAGCGATGGGCAGTCATAACAAAGGTATTAAAACTACGCGAGCAAGTGATGATAATTTTAAATTTTAATTACTAAATTACAGGTATAATAAGTTTATAAATATTGACAATATTATATTTTATTTATATTACGAATAGACAACTGGCAGACACTCTCTACTGAAACACTACACAAACAATCGAATCCCAGTATAATTAATGCCGATGATACAGACGACCATGTTACTTTCAATGACGGCAACTATAAAACTCAATTCATTGAGTTAGAAGAGATAGGTTCGGGTGGTTTTGGGACTGTATTTAAAGTGAAGCATAGATTGGATGATAAGATATATGCCGTTAAAAGAGTACAATTTGGGGGTAAATTCAATAACTATTTGTTTTCAATTCATTCATAAAATTTAAATAAATATTTCATAAAATATTTAAACAGATTTGAATGAAGAAAAAAAAACAAAAAGTTTTAAAAGAAGTGAAAAATTTGGTAAAACTGGATTCAGATTTTGTGGTAAAGTATTACAACTCATGGCTTGAGTTCAATCATCTCTTCATTCAAATGGAGTTTTGTTCACAAAATCTTAAATCTGTTCTCAAAGACAAACCCATTGTCTTCGAGAGACAACAGAAACACCACATGAATAGTGTGTTCGAGTATTTCATTTCGTGTGAAATATTTAAAGAAATTTTAGAATGTGTTCAATATTTACATGAATTAAATCCACGAGTCATTCATCGGGATCTCAAACCCGACAACATATTAATTAATGCCAATAATATATCTAATCGTATTGTAAAACTGTGTGACTTTGGTTTAGCCATAGATCACGACATCAATAGACACACTGCGAGCCGATACGAGCACTCAATTGCGGGGATTTTAAGATATATGGCAACCGAAGTACTCTCTGGACGACAATATAACTACAAATCAGACGTTTATAGTCTTTATCTAATCGGCGAAGAGTTGTTTGGTATTGATTTTCAGTCGTAAGTGTTTTTATACATCATTTAATCAAATGATTTACTTATTAATTTTTTTTATTTATCATTTGATTCTTTAGTTCGCAATCATTTGAAGCCAAGGAATCGGTGTTCAAGTCATGCATACTCTGTATGTGTGAAACACTTCGACAAATGATGGCAACTGTTTGGCGACAACGGCCTGAGTGTTGGCCAAACATAACGAGTGGTCCATTGATAAGAGTGTTGTCACGAGTCATAAGGATTTCAATGAAGTGTTAAATAAACTGAAATTAAATGAATTCGAACAAATGACACAGCATTAAGTAACATAATGTATTTCTATGAGAGACTTGTTCTATATCGATTTATAAATGTTTTAATTGAAAAATCAAAAATTAAAAAAATTACTTTTTGCAGTATCTAATTATGAACAATTTGATGCACTAATCATTAAAATTGAACATGTAGATTTTAAATGGCAAGCAATTGTAATTATGTAAATTTGATCACTTTAAAGCAAAATACTTACATTTATATCGTTTACGAGAAAAATACTGATAGATGTATCAAGTCATATTTTATTATAAACAATTTGGTATATAGTTTGTCAAAAACGAATAAGTACTTTGTGAGTTATGAGAAGTTCAAATATGCCATTGAAATACATTATGTCACTAAATTCTGTGTCATTTGTTTGAGTTCAAATGATAATTCAGTTTTTTATGAGATTTTGTTTCGCAAAACGAAGTAATATCGCTTATTGTCTAATAGATTATTTAATAGATCGCCTATTATTATTAGATAACAGTATATCACTTACAGTATTATAACACCGTTTAAAAATTATTTGAATAAATACTTGAAATCGTATTAAAAGCAAATAATTAATAAATTAAATGAAATGTTTAATTCTTAAATTGTATGTTTAATCTATTTTGTAAATTGATTTTCTTAATTATTTGTTGACTGAATTTATTTAAAAATGTGTCAAAATGTGTGAATTAATAAAAAAGTTTATATTTTATGACAAAATTCAGATAGTGCTATGAACTTAATCTGTTGTAGATTTTACCTTCATTATAAATAATATTTTAAAAATATATTGTTTATTGTATTTTTGATATACAGTTTGTTAATTAGATAATTAAAGTGAAATTATAACCTAAAAAACCCACAAATACAATCTCAGGTTATTTAATTTGTAGTGATATATTATTCTCACTTCTTAGGCAAACAACATATTATTAAACTCAACAAAAATATATTTTGTTTATTTTAAAAAATAGGCTAACCGTTTATTTTTTAAAACTATATATTAAAGTATAACGTCATGTATCTTTCTCTTTGAGTAATACTTAACAGACTTATTTGTAAGCAAATATATTAAACGTTACACTTTAATATCTATGAAAACAACCAAAATCGATTCCAAATCGATTCCAAACGGTTAGCCTAGTAAAAAAGTAAGTTTAATTATAATAATACCAAATGCACTGTTAAATTGATGTGTATTTTTAACTCAACATTAATTCTAAATATATTAGAAAAATATATTATTGTTACTATTCTTTTGTTGACATATAAATCGATATAACAATACTAAATATTGCATTACTAATGATTTACATAAATGAATATTATGTAATTATATAAATGTCAAATACGAAAAGTACATGTGATCTGCATATTTAATAAAATACCATACATTAAACTATGATAATAGTATATCGTTAAAAACAAATAAAATATTTAAATACTAAATTTAAATAAACTGACAAATTGTTTCATAATAATACAAATTATAAACTGTCAAAACTGTTATGACTTATTTAATTAATTTAAATGCATAAATTGTATTATTTTATATACTGTACATAAATATAAATGTATTAATAAATACGAAAATTATCATTAATTTACAAGTATTTGTAGTAAAAGCCAGAATAATATTTATTCCTTATTGGTATAATTTTGAAACAACACAATTATAGGTAAAATACTTAATAGTAAAGTCTTTGTCTGCAAAACAGTAGGTAATTTTAAAAGTAAATTGAAATTATATTAATTATATTTGACAATAGCGTTGCCAAACAATATTTTGAAAATCCTGTATTAATGTTAGAAAATGCTCAAAAATCCTTGTATTTTCCTGCATTACAGTATATTTTCGGAATGTTCATTCCTGTTCCAATGTACATGAAAATTTCTTCTTGTATTATGTGAAAATTCCTGTATAATACAGGAAATTCCTGTATGTTTGGCAACGCTATGTGACAATAATAATATAAGTACAGTGGGTAACGAGTGGTGAGCGCCTCGAGTGGTGATGTATTGGGCCCAATGTTAGACACATAGAAAGCCATATGACGTCACTCAATATATGATTGAGTGAGAGAGTGACGTCATATGGTCTAACATTGGGCCCAATCGATCACCACTCGTTACCCACTGTATACTGGATAAACTGTTTATTCGTTGAATAATAATAGTCTTGTCTTTTCTTACAGATAATACTGTACTATCACCATAAATTCTATACTGTAAAAAATTACATCCACAAATTATTTATTTTATATTTAAACATTTAGTAAATTTAAACATCAAATCTAGACATCAAGCAATTTCATAAAATTTAATTATGTCAAACACTCTCAATGGAATATTTCTTTGGCTTAATTAGTTATTCTGTATATAATCAATCTAAAGACGCAATAACTAAGTGCAATATACCATGCACCGAAAGAGGATATATTACATTTATTAAACTTGAGGTTAAATTATTAAATTAATTTTTTTATTAAAAATTATTAATCAATATTATGTGTAATTTTTAATCAGGAGTTGATCTTTGGTCGTGATTTAACAATGATTGAATATATAGTATGTAAACTTTGTTTGACTATTGGGAATCAAATTATTGATAAGGTAAATTTTAATTATTTTATTAACATACCAGGTAATTGGTTAAAATGTCTAAAAGGAAAATATATATCATTTGACAACGACCAGATTATAATAAAATGAATTAAATTCGAGAGAGAAATATACGTTATTTAATATCTGCTAGATTCCAAATGCATACTATGATTCTATAATCGTTAGAACGAAATTTAATTTAAGACTTATAGCCGTATTCAATGACATTAGATTGAGCACCAAACTCATTTTTAATGTATAGAAAAGTATCACTTTTCATTTATAGACAAAAACTCCAAGAGTTGGAACTTCAAATAATAAAGTCCTATATTTATGAGACTCTACCCTGAAAAATTGATTTATTAGTATAACATTAAGATAAAGTAGAGTCAATAGTAACACAACCTGACATATAGGGTTCCGGACCCACGCACTGATATCATAGTTTATAAACTTAAACCAATAGCAAATGCGTTTAGAATGTGCGCGAAAATAGAAATACAACTTTTAAAATTGCATTCATGAATACAAAATAAAGTCTGAGTTCCAACTCTAACCCAATTTGTTAGAGTTCCATTTTAAACTTAATCTCAATTTGTCTTTGAATACAAGTATTAAACATTCACAACATCTAAAATCAGAATGTGGCCCTGTTTTCTATTAACAAATAAATACAGTTGTAATAAAACATATGTATATAGTCATATCATTATTTCATGTAATTATTGCACTAATAAAATTAAACAAAGATCACACAGCGATGCTATGCGTTAACCACAATTCGGGAAATGCATCAAAGA